GTTGAGGATCCCCAAGCGCAGTAGGCGCAGTGGGCGCAGTAGTGGCCTGAAAGAAGCAAATTATTTTTTGTAGAGCATGAATTGGGCGGTACCTAGCGCCACCTAGCTAGCTACTTGCAATTACTCTGCTTGACCCCGCCATCTGGTGGCTAGCGATTTAACATTCTTTCACGCTACGCGATCAGTGTTGCCAGGTCTACTGATTTATCAGTAGATCTACTGATTTCGTTCCGGGTCTACTGAGTCACTGAAAAACAAGAAAATCTACTGACTTTTTTTTTAGTAAACATATTAAAAATTTATTATATGGCCCCTTCAGTTCCCAGTGCCGCCCATCAAAGGAAACTCATAATGTCCCAGAATTAAAAACGAAGCACTGGCTAGATGGCCCAGAAGCCCGTCCTATTCGAGTGACGTAGTCGTATATTCATCTATCTATCCACCCAGAGCAGGTTCGGCAGGTTCGACGGTGACATCCGGGCCAGAGCCATATATGGAGAGAGTTTGGCTAGTCTATGATCTCGCCGTAACGTCCCTCTCCCAAGTGAGCCAATCAGCCCGCGGCGCAGAGCGAGAGGTGTTTGCGCATGCGCCTGAACTCTCGGCTGCTCCTATACAATCTACTAGAATAGCTTCGAGTTGAGCGGAGAGAGCCGCAATTTTCATTCATTCGTTCGGCGGAATGCATGGGATCGACATCCAAATTTCAGTTATTTTCCTTTATTTGGCAGGCTGTGGCAAGAAAATGATATAATCCTATTCCTCGGTGGCTTAAAAAGCTAACGAATGAAGTTTCGCCACGTTTGAACGCAAACTTTGGGTCAGGCGAAAAAGAAATAAGCCCGTAGCAGACAACGCGTAGCCTCAACAGTGCTCCGGACCAACAGCGTTGCTTCAAAAACCTTCCACAGCCCAGTAAGGAAAGATAACAGCGTGCAGAGGACTTCCATTGGACATGTTCGCGCGCACTTGCCGGAGCGTCTTGTTTCGGTTTTGTTTCAATAATAGCGACAGGTGAACGTCGCACTGTCGCCTTCATCTGTGATCCCAAAAGTGCCTCAGTCTCGATTCTAAAGAATAATCCTCGAAACAGTCAATAATGAATAAACAAAAACATTTATGGTGTCATTGTAATTTGTCCTTCATATAAAGTTACTTGAGAACTGGTCTTGTTTTTTTCTTTCATTTTTATTTGTGTTTATTACCATGTTATTTGTTACTCTATACTATTTCTTTGAAGTGTGTATTAATGGAGATAGCAAAACATGGCAAAACACATATTTCGTGGAATCTACTGATTTTTGTGCAAATCTACTGACTTTTTGGGGATCAATCTGCTGACTTTTTTTTTCTCCATCTGGCAACACTGTACGCGATAGACAGCGGCTTCGAGTTTGTTCTTTCGAAAGCGGCTTTTGGTTTCGCGGATTGAGTTTGCCCTTCTCCGTGATGTGCGGTTGACGAAGGAATTGTGACTCGAGGAACAGCAAAGGTAAGACGCAAAGTGCGCGAAGTAACTGGGTATTGGTTGTCTCCGTTTAACATCGCGGTGCTGTCGACGAGAAGACTGAGTAACTGCTTTCGAAACCCAAGTTTCTGTACCTGTGGGGGGAATCTGGCTTCGGAAATAAACACAATCCGTGGAAAGCTCGTGTTACGCTTTTATTCGCTGCTCCTCTCGTCCCGTACAAGAAACGCAGCGTCCTCGTCAAGCCTTATTGGGCTCGATTTGCTCGATTCGGGGCCGCCATATTGAGATGCAAGCGACGGAGGAACTTTGCTCCCGTGCTTCAGGGACGAAAGTTTCTCCCTTTCTAAAGGAACATAGGTTACAAGACCGTTCCTCCCCTAAGGGAGAACTATCCATACCCTTTTTTGTAAGAGTGTACGCCGCAGACGAACTAAGGGAATGGAAGAACGACATTCATGCTTTCGCATTCACAACTCATAAGAAGTGCCTGCAGGTGTCCTCGGACTTCTGCACAAGGCTTACCAAGAAGAACAAATTCTATTTTGCGGAATGTATGCTGCAGAAGGTAAGGGCCCAGGAGCATGGTACGGAGCAACGGCGGCTGCTACGGTGCCATATGACGTCACATGCAAGGCATGTATGTCAAACCCGTTTATAACGAACAGCAGGAAACGCTACGATAAGTTCGATATAGCAAAAAAAAACATTTACAACGAACTTTCACGTTGAGTTCGTTGTAAGGCGAGAGCTTCTCTTTCTCATCTCGAATTCACTTCCGCCTTAAGACAAAAACACCAGTTTTGGGTAAAGTACATCTAAAAGGTACTTCAAGTAAAGTACAAAGTAAATGAGACGTGATGTACCTTAAATAAAGTAGTAAGTACAATGGGTGCAAAGTACTTGAAGTAAAGTACTATATATAAATACAATGCAGTTTGAAAGTAAAGTACAAATATTTTAATACAATCTTTCATGGTGTCCTTTAACTCGACTGGTGTGCATTGCCCAGGGGTAATTAGGGTGCATGACCTATCTTCAAAAACAGCAGCGGATATTTGATAAAGTCAAGTGGCCACACAGTAGTTATTTCCCAAAACTGAGCCAAATTCAGAAGTCCCTCTTCTGAATTTGGTGCCGCTTGCACTGGATTTTTGCACCCAAGACTGTTAAATATATACTAGGAAAGAGGATGACGTCAGTGAGTGTGCAAGCGAGATGGTGATAATTAATCATTATTCGATACCTGAGATTGAGGTGTGAAGAAATTGAGGAACTTTCTAGTCGAAGGGAAAGACAAAAGATAATGTCTCAAAACATTGTGATGTTCTCCTCTGTCGTCTTTTTCTTCGACTTAAAAGTTTAATTGTTCCGCGCCACAGTCTGAGGTGCTAGATTGTGATTGATTTTGCCCTCATAATATTTTAAACCTCCTCACTTGCGCTGAACGACCGAGAAGTAGCGAGTTCAAAATGCCACGGGAAAGCCGCCCCCAGAACAGGCGGAGCGATGCGTCGTCTGCTCACGTCTCTGCTGAGAGTAGAATATGCCTCCCAGTATTTCTTTGGAGTTGACAAAGAACCATTTCGTGATACAAATTTGAAAAAAAAAAAAAATTTGGGGAATGTACTTTGCAGTCGGGAATTGTACTTCCCTCGGAAAGTACCACAAAAAAGTACTTTAAGTGTACTTCAAGTAAAGTACAAGTTTCCTAAATGTACTTGAAGTAGTACTTTAAGTACAATGTACTTAAAGGTACTTCCCAACACTGCAAAACGCTAATTTCTTTTTTTTTTTTTTGTATGCGGGTTTTTTTTTTTTTTTTTTTTCTGGGGGGGGGGGGGGGGGGTGGCAAACGTTTAGGGATGAAGATTTTTTTTTTTTAGCTTTTCCCTTTTCTGAATCTTCCCGTCGCTCAATTTTGTGCTCAACTTGAGCTATTGATTTTTCTTTCTTTCCTACTTCTTTTTTGGGGGGAAGGGATAGGCTAGAAGAGGATTGTTTGCGCGTTTTTGGAAGCCTTCCCGGAGGAAAAAGTTCGATATAGCGAATGTGTTGTTCCTTATAAAACATACTTTTTCCATGCATTTCTATTCACATTTTCCGCAAGTTCGATATCGACAATAATTCGCTGTACGTGGGTTCGTTCTAGACGGGTTTCACTACTAGACCGTCGCCTGTTCCGCGGGGTTTGTGCCTTTGAATGCGCTTCTTACCTTACACTTTTGCGCCGCGGAGAAGCGGCACCCGTGGAACATACTTTGCAACCACGCGTGTCTCGCTTCGGCGCGAATATGGAGTTTTAGAATAGGGGGCGGCCAACCCTTGGGGGCCCCCGAGCAGCTTAGGTGGCCCAAGTTATTCTCTATTATCGGATATGTCCTCTCAGAACTCAGCCGCGTGTTTAGGGGAGGAAGCCTTCCAGAGCGGGATGGTACACGCCTGCACGTCTGCTAGTTGGGGAAAAGGATTGTTCAATGCTCATATGGAACAACACACAACTCTAGTTTGCAGCAAAAATCAAAACAGCGGCCAATAATACTCCAATGTCCTATCTATCAATTTGCGTGACCTTTCTCTTTTTCTCTCCCTCTCTCTCTTCAAATTGCATATTCAAGGATATCTGGGTGTAGCGAGGGGTTTTCTAAAAAAAACCCTAGTTAACCGATTAAAAATAAAACGATATTTGGGTGCAGCGAGGGGTTTTCTAAAGAGTCCTGAAGATATAGCTGGGCTATATCTTCAGGTTTGTGTGGAATCCCTCGTTTTTATGCAAAGAATCCCAGTGCCGTGAGCCGGAAAAATCGACGCCTGCACATAGATAGCAGGGACTCTTAGCAAACCGCTACCGTGTTCCGCACTACCGGTCTGCTAAAGTCCCCATTGATGGACGAAGAGCGTGTTGGAGCGGGTCAAGATTGAAAGAGTAAACATGCCAGTCAAGCACAAAACAACCTCATCTTTCAACCAGCAACGGAGATATAAGTCCATAGGCGAGCAGCAAGAAAATAAACGATTTAGCCGCGCTTGGGAAATCGGTATGCCTTCCCCTTCGACTTCAAAGTTCCCTCATTTTTCCCTCGCCACGGACTCGGGTTATAGACATCACGATTAAATATCACCAGCTCAACTGCACAATCACCGACTTTTGATTAAAGTGGAAAGATATGGTTGTGTTTTCCTTGTCTTACACGTTTATAATTTCCTCAATCCTGCATATAAAAAGCTCAAACTTTCACCGAATACGCAATTAGGTGGTGCCTTTTACCTGGTCAAATTTCACGTCCTTCCTTCCTCCGACAAGGCCAACAAACTTTCCAGGGTCAACGGCAGACGTGTTCGCAGACGACCAAGTTACCCGTGGTTGTAACTTGTGGCGCCGCCTCCCGATAGACACAGAGGGCAGACGACGCACCCTGTCGCCTGCTCGCTGCGCCTATCAGGAAATGGCGCCACAAGTTGTCTTGCTAGGTCATCAGTCTGGTTGGTGATATGGCAGCTACGATGAAGAACATGGCATATTAAACCAGAGGCTGTGGCACATAACTTTGTTTATTAATCAACACGTTCCAGGACAGACAAAATAAGGAGCAAAAATAGCTCACGAAATAAGACCAGAACAGCAAGAAATCAAATTCATCAGTTAATTTCATGCAAATACTTGCTCGCGATAGGCCATGCCTGGCTAATTCTTCCTATCAGTCAAACAATTTTCTATACAATAAAATTGCTCAAACATGTTTTTAAAAAAACTTTTTTTTTTCCGTTTTCGATTGAATATTTGAGATCGAGGAACACGTGTAGGAACAAGACGCCCCTTCAGGTATTTCTCAGTCTCGGATACGGTGAAAGTTCTCCAGCTTTTCTTAATGTTCTCTGCAGTTGCTAACCTCATCTTTATCAGAAACCCACGAGAGCAGGTTTTTACCAAAACCCAGTGAGACAACTATCACGGCTAAAAACGTTTCTAGGGCACAGGCCTAATGATCAAATACACTCCAAAAGAAAAGGCTGACAGCTTTTCGAGGTGACACTACCTTACCACAAACATGCAGCTGTTGATACATTGATGCTGTCTGAAGATTGGGCATATCAATCTCCCTACAAACCTCCCCTCCTACAGAAACAAAAAGGGGGAAGGGAGATGTCCCGACTTTTGTGCCGTTTCCTAGTATCTCCTCATAGAAAAACGTCTGCACAGACTAAACATCCTCGAACAACGCTCACCATAAAAACTCTCGAATGCAGCAAAAATCAAAAGCCCAGTACAAATTAACCTATCGACGAGCAACTTCGCGTACGAAAGAAAAACTGTCGGATCGACACTGACTAGATACTACAGCAGCTATCTCGATAAACCCTCTAACTTCCGAGTAACTTCGTAACACTAGGCATATATCTAACAGGAATATGAGGTCAACAAAAACAAGGTGCATGAGGTGTCCCCCCCTCACTTCCAGGCGTAAATTACACCTGTCTGGTGCTGTGCCTAGGAAAGGATGCCCGATACGAAAGAAATAAGAAAAGGTGTGGGTAGCGGCCACCCCTTGCTCCGCCGAGGTACATACAGTCTCTAGGTAGGAATGCATGCAGAGGCGGCATATGGCACTTGGATAACTGACAGTTTGTACTATCCGATGAACAAAAAGCTGAACCAGGCAAAAGCAGCAAGCTCCACTCAAACTGGAGTGAGCAACTGGACTTTGGAAGTAGTCTCGAGACTGCTTCTTGTGCCGTTAGGACTAGATGCCAGCGTGTGTTTATGGAATACTTAGCTATGCCAAAGCCACAACTGACTTACAAGGAACACTCGAGGCTGCGAGAGCGAGACTGTCTAAAGAAATGTGATAACGCAAATTCATTACCTTTCTTAGTCAGCGTGGTTGACATTGAGATGCAAAGGGTTTGTACCCAGGTTCATCCTAAATTAATAAAAAGTGATGCCAACGCTACAAGCAGGAGCATGTTGACTCGAATGAGGGCTTGCACTGCACAAGAGCACACTAAACATCCTCCAAACTTCGAGTTTGCCCTCGTATCTTTGGCCTCGTTCCCACTAATGATAAAGCAAAAGGTGGACTAGATAACAACTACTATATACATCAACAGCAAGGTTGCCTGGCAAAGAAGCCGAGGCGCAACAAACAGAAGCGACTAAGTCACACTCCAAATAGATTTATGTGACTAGCGAGCACTCTATATAGGTTTTGCCCAAAACAAATTCCCTTGGAGCAAAAGCAGCAGGTCTCCACCCCAATGCGTAACAAATGTTGATTTATAACCCTACTCTTCCAAAGAGCCTGCAAGCGTTTCACGCAGCGTATGGTTTTACCTTCAGAGCCGTTTTGGAAAGTACCGATACCAAGGCATCTTCCCAATCAATTGCGAGAAAACGGTACTCTGAAATGCCCCTTAGGCTATGAAGGTTGCCTGCACTAAAAGATGACACACCTTGGGGAGACACTAATGGGAACACTGTGAGAAAAAGCAATGCTTGAAATCAATAGACCGGCGTAACCGGATTGATTTCCTCCCCAGTCTCTGTCAACTCTCGACACAATGAAACAATGTCAACAAAAACAGCCAGCAACATTCCCAACCACCCAACTTTTGTAAACCTTGCGCCTGCCGGCAAACTGACGAGGCGCCGGCAGACGCGCTTGCGTCTGCCGGCGCCTCGTCAGTAGTGGTACAAGCGGGATATGTCTTTCTGCCGGCACGCTCCCATGACTTCAACTCGTGGCTTCCCCCAGACTAGGTCAGTTCTTCCTATAAACAGCAAGGCAAACATGTCAACAATGTGTCTTTAAATCAGGTGCCACCAAAGAAAACCGAACAACTGGCAGAGCGATTGCTCCCAGTCAACCATGAGGCAAGTGCTAGTGGTCAGTTAGTAGAACCAATGCAGTCCCAAGATTATCGTAAGAGCTCACTGTATGACACTTGTCACCGACACATCGAATGGGTCTGGCTGGCACTGGCTAAGACAACAAATGTCGCTTTTAAACATTGTACTGTTGCCGCCGTGGATGTGTGCGAGCTCTCCGGTGGTGACGACCATGCACCGGATGGAGCTTGCACCTTGCCCGGTCAACTAGCCTAGACCGTCCTAAACATCCCGGCCCAAATTAGTTCTTTCATGTGGCCACATAAAAGACGTTAACCAGAAAGGATGCACATTTTCTGTCTTGGCTTAGTTTGGAAAATGCAGGGGACGAGCATCTGTGTCAACCAAGAGCCACATGAATGTCTTCAGAGAGCACAGGCTTCGTTGCAGAGCTGGTACCACAAGACTGTGCTCTCCACGCACTCGTGCACCCACTCTTCTTTTTCTCCCTCCAAATTGCAAAACTGGTCAGGCCGTACAAAGTAGAGGATGCATGCCCAAAAATCTTCTCGGGGGTTTTCTGTGGCGCATAAATGAATTGAGCATTGCACGTGGCCAACATTTTACCAGATGGCAGCTCCGGCACTAGAAGCCAAATGCCAAAGTTGCACCCGAAACATCCTCCCAAATTGAAAGTTAGGAACAACATTTCTAAAAACCTGCTCAAATGACTCGACAGGATCAGGTGGCAGCAGCTTTTCTAGCAGTGGAAGCTGTCTTCTATTATCAGGCTCGTTGGAAAACAGTGCCTGAATCGCATAGAATCAAGTCACTATAAGTTATGGTACGACGTACAGCCACTTGATTTTTTCCACCGACAAAGAACGGCAGCCTTAGAAACAGCTTTCACATTTTGATTCAACATAATGTAACGGGCACATGAAACCTTTGCATTTAGCCTTCAGTGTCAAGGCTACCTTCCGGCAAACTTTCGGCATTCTGCGATTCATTTTTGCACCGTGAAAAGCCCCTGGACGGATTCTCAAGGTCACCCTGCAGCGAGTTGCGTGACAACTTGAATAGGCATCCTACCTCCCAATTAACCTTTGGAGGGCACACACTTAAGTGTTTTAGGGTAGCACAATCCAGTCAGTGGTCCTACTTTGGTTCTTAGACATTCGTCCACTTTAGAAAGATTATAGTTCCATAGCCAGATCAATTTATGATACCCTTTACCAAATTCCTTCGGCCATAGTTTAGCTCACCCTTGATGGACCAGAGGCCAAAGCTACACACTGCCAGGTCCACTTCGGCACGTGCATCAGTACGCGCATCTCGAAGGTGTGAGGAAGCAACTGGCTTGTGACTGGACCTGGCGGCCCCCAGATTTGGCCTCTAGCACGTCGTAATGTGAGGCCAGGTATGAGCCAACATTCCAGACACCTATACTACAAACATCGCAGGCCTACAACTCCACTCCAGAGTTCTGGAATGCCTTCCAGTCCAGGCACTTGAGGCATCTGCATATTAAGAAAAGCGGGACAAACTCCTCCCAACAAGCCCCCCAGGAAAAGGAGGAAACCACCCATCGTGGCGAGCAGAGCTTTGTGGGAGGCAATGGTATAACCAGACATTTTCTTTCCTTGCGGGGATGGCCACAATAATCTTAGGGTATGGGGGAGGGGCACAATGCAATATGTATAGGGTGCGGCCTTAAGAACCAACACATTTGGCACGTCCTGCAAAATTCCCATTCCAAACGTACATGTCTGAAATTGGGCACGTAAACATAGTTTTATGTCTACTTTTTTCAGAGCTCAATTCAGAGGTAATAAAATATTAGAAATAGAGCAAAAATGGCGGCCGGGCATTTTCTATGGCCTATACCAAACGTTTGTCGTCTACACACCGGTTTATGAGCTCGCTCCCAGATAGTCACTCTAAATAGATTTCATTAAAAGTATTAATTATCGCGATGATCTCGCTCATTGTCAGCCTTTAATATTGGTGCTGAGTGTTTTTTGCGTTCAACAAGCCACCAGGGAGCGAGCTCGTAAACCAGTGTGCAGACAACAAGCAGGCTGGTATAGGACATAGAACATATATGGCCTCCGATTTTGCTTCATTTTTAATATATTTCGCTAGCTCTGCGTTGACCTTAAAACAAAAGATAGACAAAAAGCTTCTCACGAAACTATGTTAGCATGCTCAATTTCAGGTTTGTACGTATGAACTATGAACTTCGAATTTTGCAAGGCATGACAAATGTTTCGGTCCATACGACCACCCGCTGCATGTTATAGTCTTGGCTGAATTATTGGGGGGGGGAAAGGGGTAGGCTCAAGTTTGATAAGCTCCCCCACCTATGCCACCGCTGCAGGGGCAGATTTACGGGTCAGGCTTGGGGGGTCTGCAGAGAGGTGTGAAGTCACGAACGAATCATTGCCTGTGAGGATTTGCTATTCCACCAGGAATTAAACATTTCCTCTTAAAATAAGCCGGCGTATGTGTTTTTTTTCCATAAATAAAAAAGTTGCCCTGGTGGGAGGGACTTGTCCCGCTTTTCTCAACCTGCAGCAAACTCCATGCGGCGAAGCGTGCCGTTCGGCACCCTAGTCCCCCTTGGGGTCCTCCGTCGGGGCGGGTGCAGCCCCGTGCGCCTCCATGTGGGCCCTCCAGTGGGTGACCACCAGGAAGCCCCGCCCACACAGGGGGCACGAGTGGGGGAAGCGGCGGGTGTGGATGCAGATCTCGTGGCGCTTCATGTTCCGCAGGTGGCTGAAGCGCAGCGGGCAGTGGGGGCACTGGTAGGGCTGCTCCCCGGTGTGGCTGCGCAGGTGCACCGTCAGGGCCGAGTTGTGCACAAAGCTCTTGTGGCACTCCCGGCACACGTACGGCTTGTCCCGCACGTGCGTGCGCAGGTGCACCTGAAACGCACGGCAGGCCGCCGTGTGAACGCCGTTCGGTTTGCCAAGTGCGAGGATGTCTGGCGAGAGCTTCGCGCCGATTTGCCTGCACCCATTTGCTGTTGCTGCATCAAGTTCCGATACTTTTCTGTAAACTACCTTGTGGGATTTTACAGAAAATAAAATAAAAGCATGGGAGGGTCAGCGCGTTTCCGAAATGGTGCCTTACATGGCTGAATGAGCGAGACGCTGTCAAGATTCCAAAACATGTGCTCAAACATGCAAATGGTAACCCAACCTAGGAACCATCACTAGCAGGCTACCCAGAATTCCCGTACATATTGCACAGCCTTAGCCTTCTTTCTCACTGCAAAAAGAGGAGAAGACTGAGAGTGACTGTAGAAGGTGCTGCAACCAATCAGTGTCCAGCACAAGACTATCGATACCAATTTCAACACCTAATTTTCAGCACCATCAGGCTAGCCAGTTAAGTGCAAACCAGAGGATAATCTGTATCGTCTTTACAAAGAAACTAAAATAAAAAAAACAAGTTTTTTACAAAATACCTAAATGGGACATTATTTTTTTCCATTTTACCACGAAAAAATTAATTTTTTAGCAATATTTACGTAGTTATACACAATTTAGGTGGAGAGGATGAAGGCTACAGCCCGCTAAGCCCCGCCCGTGCTTACATCTCTTATTGGCTGGAGAGATGATTGATGTATGAAATGTTGGTTGTAAAATTGTATCTCCGTGCCGTAATAGTATTTTAATCACCATTTTTCTAGAGCGCGGCTCTTAGGTGCCCATTTCCGGCTTAAGCAGCGTCGCCGTCACCGTAACCACACATTGCATTATGGGATGTTTCCCATAATGACGTCACACGTATACATCACGTGTGAGGCCATGGGCGATGTCACAATTAGGTCACTCGTGAAAGTCACGACTTTCACAGCAAAAGTCATGTGAAGGTCACGACTTTCACAAGTGAGGCCACGAAGGCCACTCGTGAAGGTCACGACCTCACAGTGAAGGTCACGACTTTCACGTTACCTTCACTTGTGAAAGTCGTAACCTTCACGAGTGACCTCACAAGGGTCACAAGTATTGTCACGCGGGTCACGAGTAAGGTCACCAGGGTCACGAGCGATGTCATGAGGAAGGAGGGAGGGAAGGGAGGGAGGAGGTTGAGGAGGAAGGGTGGAGAATGAGGAGGAGGAGGAAGAGGAGGAGCTTACCCTCCTCTCTGTACCCTCCCCTCCTCCTCAGGAGCTGTGCTCTAATTCGGCATTACAGGGAATTGTAAACGTCCCATTTTTTTATGCTTGACAAACAAATAATCTAAACATTCATTCTTGTTTTCAAAAGTATCCCAAGACTGCCTATTCTGCTTTGGTGTGAAACAATAACAAACATGGCTTCTGGTGTCTGCAAAGTGCTCAACGAGCGCAGCTCGTCGAATTAGTCTAATTTTTGAGTGCAAGTAGTTTTGCATTCACCGATGTGCTTAGAAAAAGATCTCCTCAACCGACCTACTTTGCAGCAAACAACTGTCGCAAGTACGCACATTCGGAAGCGCCTTGCGGGTGCTTGTTTTTGTTGCGGGCCTGCCCCAAGCCTAGCATCCCGCGTTAACTGTTGCTTGATCTGGCTTGATCTTTTCTTATGCGCGTGTTGATGCTGAATAAAGATGTTGGTTCCTATATAAGTGGCCCCGCTGCTCTGTGAATTGTGCAATCGTCGTGAATGCAACCATGGTTACAATAATGAGAAGAGACCTACACAGGTAAGAACTTGCGAGACATTTGGCTGAAGGCAATCCAGCGTTCGGCTTGAATCTAGTTTGTCTGGGCATGTTCCCGTCATTTCGCTTCAAAAGGCAAGTAGCTCAAGTTTTGCAGTGTACCTGGCCTGCCAAAGCAAATATTTTAAAGTCATATTTTAATTGTGTGCCATTATGCTCACGTGCACCTTGCCCATGGATGCCATGCAAAGATATAAGAAGATAAAAAAAAAGCTTGAATGAATGCACATTTATTTCGTTGCTTCTTTTTTTAGTCTTCTCAGTCACTTTTTACCGTGCATCGACAGATGCTGACAGACGCTTGTATTAGATTGTGGCTTGTGCATGGCGATATGCTAGAACGCCGCTTTCATGATGGCCTCTCGCAAGTGTTGCAAAAGTTCTTGTTCTTAGATGGGGGCAGTACAGCAGACGAATGAAGGCGAAAACGGACGCCGACGCGCATCTTTCATGTCCGCGTCCTACGGGCATTGCAGACAAACCATGCCGAAGCCTGTCGTGCGTCTGCTCGCATGACTAGCAGGAGGTGTGAGACGCCAGGCTAGACGCACCGGATGCCGCGAAGGGGAGACACTAGCCTTCCGATCGTTGTCTGCTGGGCAGCAGGATCAATCCAGTAGTAATGGGCGGGGATTAGAGCAGGCCGTGACTTCCCCCTAAATTGCGTCTAATGACGTAAATGTTTTGCATAAAAAGAAATGATTTCGTGGAAAAATTATTAAAAAATTTAAGTGTCCCGCCTATGCTCTTGAAAAAAAAACTTATTTTTTTAGATTTTAATGTTTTTTTAAGCACTCTATAAAAAAGCTAAAACCCCCCCAACTGGAGGTGTCACCCAAACACATGGGCATTTTTATGTCTTCACTCTAATACGCTGCAACTGTAGGGCATTTCAAGACCTAACATGGTGTTTCTTTACACCTGTACCGTTCTTTAGAATGCTGCAGGGTGTCAGACATAGTTTACGACTACACCAAGAGATGAGGACAAGGCACAAGACACCCAATCCTTGTTTCTTGGAGCAGTCAAAAGATATGAACCACAACCAACTAGCCTAATGAGCCGTCCTATGGAAGAAATTGGTGACAAGGGCAATATGTTTCCAAATTGTTTGTGTCAAAAACCCTTTGAATTCCACGAACGCAATTATGTAGCTGTCGTTTCAGGGGTGGGCATTCATTAAGGGTTTTTGGTGTATATGCGCAGAGAGACACGCGGTAGCATAGCACGTAAGTAGCTGCCATATGTCGCCGTTTGATCAGCGTTCCCACACCACCCCCTTCGTAAAACACAACTAACATTAGTAGTCGTGTGCGATTAGTGGATTTTTAGTCTGAAGCGAATAGTGGTATTAGTTGAATATTTTCTAATAGAATATTGAATAGTCTCTCCAAGCCTTTCACTACTGTTGCACCATGATTAAACGAAAGCTAAACTAAACTCGTGAAGGCTTTTCCCAAGCTTTCACTTGTCCATTTATAAGCTAATTTTAATCTTATATATATGAACTATGACCTCAGCAAGCCTGATGGCTAGGGATGGCAAGTAAACGACAGATTTGACATAAAATTAAAAGCTATAGAGATGCCTAGCAATACCTCGAGTGGATTTACAATTCTTGCATTACGCAAATGTTTTTTCTTCAATCTCGAAATGGAAGAAGAAAAAAAGTATCGCAAATACTGAATGCAGGTTGTCAGAGCGTCTCTCTAAGATATGCTCTCGCATAACAGCCATAGATTAATTTTTGAACATTTCCCTACGTAGATATCAATGTACGCAGTTTCCGTTTCTTTTTCAATGCACCAGACGTGCGCGCGCCCCATCCCACTTTGAAAGTGTGCTCTTTTCCCAAGCACGTAATTGCAATATTCATACTTTTCTAAGTGTTGATTGCGGCGTGTAACCCTGTTGAGTGCACTTTTTACCAAGCACCGGTGCACTGAGGAAAAACGACACCCGCGGAAACGAGCTTCGTGGGTGGTGCTTCTCCACAGTGCACCTGTGCTCGGCAAGAAGTGCACCCAACCGGGCAACCCGCCGCACAATCAACACTTCGAAAAAATATAAATATTGCAGTTCGCCTCAATGAAGATATCGAACAGTGCATTATTTTAAACTATTAGAAACTTCGAATATTTTTACAACACTAAAAATTGATACTTGCCTCATATTTCACGAAATTGCACGCAATTAACTTTGCCCCGTCCGCAGTGGCGGTTCTCGTATCGTACGAAGGGAACTTTTAAGCAGGCATTGGCACGTTTATTGCCCATTTTTATATAAAATGCACCGTCTCAACCAGAAATATTGCAAACCCAATAGTTTTGCCCGATCATCTCTCCGAGCGGGAATTCATAGTGGATTCTGCGGTACACATTAGGTCGACAGCAACCGGCCAGCCGCCGCGGCCTGGTAGGCCAACACCGGAGCGGTGAAAGGGGCCCACCTGCAGGTAGCTGGAGCAGGTGAAGCGCAGGCCGCACACGTCGCACATGTAGGGCCTCTCGCCCGTGTGGGTGCGCATGTGGGTGCGCAGGTTGCCCACGTACTTGTAGCGCTTGTGGCACTGGGGACACACGTTGCCAGCCCCGCCCTCCACATGCACCGCTTGCACGTGGCGCACCAGAAACTGCCGCCGGGCAAAGGTCTCCCCGCACGTGGGGCAGGCGTGCTGGCCCTCCCCGCCGCTCCCCTCGTTGTCGCCGTTCTGCGGGAATCGAGCGTGTCACCTCACTGCGCTCTTACCACAAACTTCAAATATTAACAATGACTGAATACGCAAGCCCAGTTGGGGAACCCATTCACAAAATAGAATGCATACGAAGTAAAGCTGCCCAATCTATTTTCAAACACAATCAATACACAGACTCTGTCTCTTTCCTGAAGTTCGTACCTACTGCCCTGACCCGGCAGAGGCGCAAGAGGCCACGAGGTCCGAAGCATGTAATCGAAGCAGGGAAAAACAACGAAACCGAGAGACACTTACCTAGTCGCAAAGTTTAGAAGCTGTGGACAGTGCACTCTACACTTAACAAATGGCGACCGGTATAAAAACAGAGCAAAAAGTTGGTTGGAGATGGAAATTCGACCGAAGAAACCAAGACGATGATGATGATACCTAGCACAGCATAGCACACCAAGCGGTCGGTTCGGCAGCGCTAAAATAGTGCTGCCAAACCGATCCCATCCATCTGAAACATCGAGCCAAGCCAACAATTAAGCCAGCGAAATATCCAAGACGGCAACCTCCCGGCGGCCGCCACTCGTAACTATTTGAGCCCGAAAAATCTAACATTTGGCCTGCAAGGTGTCAGCACAATTGGTCAATAATATATACTATTTTGATTGGGTGAGTCACACAGTTCCTCGTCAATGTCCGAAATAACGAGGAATCCGAATTTTCAGCATCCGTAAAATACATACCTGCCAACCTGTGGACTTTCAAATTCGTAAAACTCCCGCGGCTGCGCGCGCGCGCATGAAGGCGGGGAGGGGGGGGGGGGGGGCGGCGTGTTTTAGCCTCCCTACTGTGCGAAACGCTTACATCACACATGCATGTGCTGAAGAATCCAAACTTCTCTCCCTTCCCTTTTTGGTCGGCACGAAGCACGGGGATTCCGACGTGTAGGAATTCAGGAACACCTTTTGAGGTTTGGAGTTCGCCATTGCGCTGCGAAGCCACCGTGACCAGGGGAATGCTACGATTACACATGCAACAGACACACACAGACGCCGCATTTACCGCACTGCTCGCCTCGAAACTGGCCGAACCACAGAGGCCCAAACACGTCTGAACATGCCGAACCATAGTGAATGTTCAGTTTTCGAAGCTCTATGGCACCACAAACCGAAAACAGTCAAAGATGGGCTCCATTTTCCCATTGAAATTTTCAGAAAATCACTTATAACTTTTGATTAAGTTATCGGATCGGGCTGAAACTTTGGCATCTGGTTGTGACCTCTAGCACTAACTTTGGGTGGAGAATGAGCGTTCGGCGATGCCTAGTCTATTTTTGCGGTAACAAAAAAACTGTAATTTCTTTTTTTGTGACACACTGTATGTTCCCTGCAGTAGGCTCCGTAGACACAACTTTGCAACCTTTGTTTGGCACTCTTCCGCGCACGTGAGATAACGTGCCGCACACAAAAGCCATCCTCGGAACTCACTTGTTTGCGCGACGTTGTCAAGGTGCACCGAGAAAAGGCACGACGCCGTCGAGGCTACTTGTGCAAGCACGTGGCTTCGTTCGACAGCTCCGTCGCATGAGCGCGCATTTCAGCGAGGTGCAAGACGAAACCACGTGCGTGTGCACTATTATGGGGCTACACCAAGGTGGGAACTACACTACCCTCGACAGAGTAGCGCAAAGAATTTGCCACCAGGTGCGGCGTGCCACACCTCGCGGTAAATTTGTTGCACGCGATTACCCTCATTCTCCCAGTCACCCACGAGTTCAGTTAGAACTGACGGTCAAATACACCACCCCTCGCAAGGTTTACTGTTCCTGCAATCTTCGGCGTTGATCTATGCCCTCGAAGCGTGCGAGTCTATACTTGCATCGTTCACGTTCTGTCTGTTCTTAACAAAGTATGTCGTACGTACCTGGCCTCGGTTTTATTTTGCAATATTGTACATAAAGCCGAGCTCCCGCGTTAGTGGGATGGGGTGTTATAAATTGAGGGACCCGCTCCAAAAGGAGAAAAAAATCTGTCCGCACGCTACGAGCCAAAAATGTTCATTACAGGTGTAATTTAGTTACGAATTTTCTCTAGCAATATTTCGAGGCACAGCTCCGTTCCTGCAATACATTAGAACGGCCTCGACATTTTTGGTGACACGTGCCGACACGGACGACCAAGGCACCCGACAGTCGCGCTCGTGGCGCCATCTCCCAATACGCGAAACAAGCACTTGGTCAAAACGTTTACTTTCGACCAAATCCTCACACCTATCAGGGGATGGCGCCACAATCTCGAGTCTCGATCGAGTCGGTCGCCGGCACCCGTCACTGAAAGCGTCGAGGCCGTTCTAATTTTTTGCGAGAATTTAGCTACACTTCAAGAATATTACGAGACAAAGTCCGCCACTAAAATAAACTCGATGTGAAAACTCTAGCTTTTTACATGCAGGCAGCAACTTTTCCGACTCATCTTCCGTTGGTCCCTCGGATTTCCGACACGTCGGCGAACGAGGGAGGAGTGCCCTTGCCTTGTCGTGCAGCCGCAGGTGGACCCTGAAGTACTTCTGGCGGGCAAAGCGCTTTCCGCAGGTGGGGCAGCGGTGGGGCCGCTCCCCGGTGTGCACGGGCAGATGTTCCCGCATGGTGGTCGCATTGCCCGTCGAGTAGGGGCACAGCGGGCACTGCAGGGGCCCGCGCCGGCGCGCCTTGTTCGCAGCCCCGACGCCCCTCGCCCCGCTCTCCTTGTCCGAGCCGTTGTTGGCACCGTCGTTCTTCTCTGTGTTCACCCAAAGACGAGCACATCCATATTTGCTCTTGCAGGAACACGTTTGACGCTCACTAAAATATTTCCTCGATTAATCCGCAGCCCTAAGCTTACACCGTCTATTCATGTTTAAAGGCAAGTTTTGCGAGAATCTCCTACTTTCTTTGTGAATCAAATCATCTCGATTGGCCCCATCGCTGGAACATTCGTATAACACCCTCGATGCAGTGGATATTGACGTTTCAAACTCAAATATATTTCCATTTAAGTTGCTTTTGACTAATTTGTAATCTCATTGTTTGTGCATCATTACCGGGGCATCAGCAGTTCACGAGCGCAGAAGATGAACAAATGAAGAAAAAAATTAATTAATTTTAGGCGCAGTTTGTTTCTTCCGACCCAGCCAGCTATTTCCTGCCGAGGACGACGAATAATATATGGTTTCACACCAATCGCACAGTCTCTGATGCACAGCCACTGTCTAGTTCTACTAAAGTTACTGAGAATGCAGTTTTTAGCTGCTTTCATAGAACAAGAACTGTGCTCTCGTTCTACTAAAGCCTGATCTCGGAGCGAATAACATTGAAAAAACTGGCTAGTTATAGGGCCAATCGAAAGTTGAACAACGTAAATGAGTTGATATTGATTTACGAAGACTAAATATGAGTACTGCAAAATATTACACTAATGGGAAACAGTGATCCACTCTGAAACTGACGTTAAAAATGCAACCACCAGCTTCTCAGCAGGCATCCCATGGGTTGGCTGTTTGCCAACCCAGATAAAAATAACCATTGAGAACCATTGGAATTTCAATTGGTACCAGTTGTTTCCAACTCGTTCCAATTGGAAATTCAATTGATGCCAATTGTAACTAGTTGGATCCAATTGTCAAAAAGTAAACAATTGGTTGTGTCAGTTGGTTTCAATTGGAAGTTCAATTGATATGTCAATTGTAACTAGTTGCATCCAATTGGCAGTAAGTAAACCATTGGTTGTGCCAGTTGGTTCCAATTGGAAGTTCAATTGATGCCAATTGTAACTAGTTGGATCCACTTGGCATTAAGTAAACAACTGGTTGTGCCAATTAATGGCAATTGCAAGCTCAGTTGGCACCAAATTAACTAGTTGAATCCAACTGGCATTAAGATGTACAATTGTTATGCCAATTGGGACGAAAATGTCCAGTTGATTATCACAACTGTACTTTTCAATTGGCACCTGATACACAATTCTATCTTCAGTTGTCTTTCATTGGTTATTTTAACCCAAATGAAAATTTAAAGTGGTTTCACAAGTGGTCCCACTTTACCAATTCCCACTTTCAACTGGTTTAGTCAAAATTATCCCAGTTAGGTTCAGATGTCCTACTTGTAATTTCAAGTGGCTACACCTTTCTTTCATCATTTTTTTTACTGAACATGTGTAAATAGGCTTGTAAAACGCGCCATTACTTTAAATTGTGTGATTTTTTGATGAAAGTCGTATGGAGGAAAAATTGTACATATATTTTTTTTTTCAGCCCAGTTACAATTAAAATATTGGTACAATCGGAATCATAGCACTTGCACAAATTACTTTTTTTAAATATCAAAATGAGAAAAACTTGCGCATGGAAATTAAATTAAATAGGTCAGAATTTTTTTTTTTTTATTTTATGTTATAAATATCCGGATATTTTTTTTTTTTTTGCTAATATTGGCGGGAATTCTCGGAAACGTCTGTACACACTGGGCAACAAAGATGGCGTCCGGGAGGGAGCGCGTACGCACATGGCACGTTGGCAGGCACGGCATCTGTGGCATGGTTACAGCAGATATTTAAGAAAGTTATGTTGTTATACTGCTGCGAGTGCTGAACAGTGCGGTGATCATTAGTTCATCTGGCCTGCCACTTCGTTGGAGCGTGAAGGATGGATAGCAAACAGTTATCAACTCAAGGTGAGGACACTTCTTTGTTTCTTTTCTTGGTGCTTGCTGCGTTGCAAATCGGCGAATTCGTAGTAATAAATATGCCGAGACACCTTTACCTTTATGGTCAGTACAGGGTAGGAGCTTGCACGAATGAAACTTTACAGAAGAGAATTTTTCGATCTGTCAGTTCGAAAGTCGCGAAAGGGCACGAAAGTTGACGCAATGTAATCAAGTGCTAGTGCGAAAAAAAAAGTGTTTAAGCATTTTTTAAATATACTATAGATTCCTGAAAGCACTTACTTGCCATAGATTTAGAGTTGCAATATGCCAAAAATTTGGCATGTTGCATTAAAGGCTAGGGTTACGTATCTGGCGAAGTTTGAGCGCGCCACGATCTGTAGTATCACTTTTGCGGTGAGAAATACACTATTTTCTTTTCTCGGAAAGACGCAGTACTTTGGAAACATGTTTTTGTATGACTCAATGCCTCTTTAGAGCTGGAGATAAACTTTTGCTGGAAAACTTTATTAAAATAGAGAACACTCAGGAACACCCAGAAATGTCTCTCTCAAACCTCTGTAATTATGCAGAATGTATAACTATGTTATAAACGCTGCAACTATGCAGTATCTGTATAGTTACAGCATATTAACTGCCCTAACACCTAGTCGTTAAGTATCGTAAGCATGGAATCGGACTAGTCAATATGGTCACAGTTCCTTTTTTCTTTGCAACGTAAATAAAAATACATGCTCCTAATTATCTTCTACCAAATTTGCCCATCGATTATGGATGTACTGCATATATTGCCGAATGCACTCCTTCGAGCAAAATAGAATTTTAGTTGATCCATATTTCTGACCATTCCGAAATGCCGCCTGCAAAGCCTTGTCGGGTGGCTTTGGCCGTCTTTTGCTGCACATCGAAGACTTGATTTATAAATAAAGAAACTCCTGTTTTATTAAGCGGAAACGTCATTGTTCCTTATTGCAAGCTAAATATGAAGACTTATGTAGATCATGCAATAATTCAACCTATATTGGTGCTCGTAGGAAAGCTGCAGAGGAAAAACTGGACCAGGAGGAAACTACCGAACCAGAGGGCAACACCTGAACAACAGGACGACGGCCAAGCAAGCGGAGGCCGAATGAATGAATCTCTTAATTACAATAAAAATGGCAAACATTACCTACTAGAGTTTCATTGTCCAGTTATCACAAACGGTTTCCCCAATTGGTTTCAACTGGCAATGCTCAATTGGGTATCAACAATTGGAACCAACTGGGATTTTTTCAATGAGGAGTCCGAAATCACAAACGGTTTTCCCAATTGGTCGTGCCCAATTGCTTCCAATTGGCAATGCTCAATTGGGTTTTGACAATTGGAACCAATTGGGATTTTTTCAATGAGGAGTCCGAAATCACAAACAGTTTTCCCCATTGGTTCCAATTGTCAGAAACCAATTGGACCCAATGGACATTTTTAACTGGGAAGCAACCTAGTGCCCTGATGTCCCCTTTGTTTTCCAAGGACGTTTCTTGTTCGCACTGCCACTTCTTTCGCCATGTTTTTCTGCTACGTTTTCAGTCGTCCCAGCGGACAATTTCTTCTTGAGCTTTGTTTTAGAGGCCGTAGTTTGTAAGCGCTCTTCGACCATCAAGCACAAAGATTATTGACTCCCTGCTCACTCGAGCACATTGTGGTGCTAAAGGTAGCATTCACTAGCAACCATAGTTTAGTATGTTCCTGCTCAGCGCAAGCTTACGATTAGCTATAATGCTTCTGCAATGTGCATTGCACACCACCTAGATTGTAGTAATTCTTCTCGGAAGGTAAGTAGGGGCTTGTTTGGAGCCGGCGTTCATCGTAGTAAACTCGCTTATCGGCTATGAATGTGCAATAACATTTGCTACAGATGTTTGATGTCTGCGAAGCAAAGCAGTAAAACAGCCGTAGTATCTTTCCTGACTGATCGTAACTGTTCTAGTGACCACACCAGTTGTACGTTTTGCGGTACCGCGATGCGACCTTTGTGTCACACGACGGCCATGCAGCTGACTACAAGGGTTGCCATCATGCTTGAGCTAGTAGTTTCGGTTTTGCCGTAGAGCCTCGAAACAAAACTTTGAGATAAGCTATCTACAAAACTACACGAGGCATCGGAAGAAAGAAGGAACTGACACCTCGTAACTCAGGGACACTTCCTTCACTTAAATCGTTGTAACCCTAAAATCGAGAAAATGTACTGGAGTTACCCTTTAAAAGTATAGGCTGTTTCAAAAGACTTGAAGTGACAACCCTAATCAGCGACAATACCCTAATTTCCTTCGAAGCTTATAATTTGGATCGAGGCATTGTCAAACACAGAAATGTCCTAAGAAACCACTGTTACACATAGGTAGCAAATGACAATTCCACAAGACGCTGAGCGTTTCCAATGTGTGCCAAGCCCTTACATGCATCCAATAGAAACCTCCAGGTGGACAAATCATGTTTCCAAAAATCTAGAAGCTGTGCAGTCATTCGGACACAGGTGCAAACATCTTTGCTATTTACTTAGTCCACGAGAGCGAGAGAACTTAGGCAACGAGAAATACCCATAATGCTCACCTTGGAGGCTTTGGTTGAGGTTCCCTAATGCTCCCAGCCAGGACTCTTTCCCAGTCTGTAAGCAGTTTTTGTTCCCACAATCAGACGCTTCTCGACCGCAACAGGGGACCAAAGTTCTGAGCCAAAGACAGTGCCAAGAGATGCATCGTAGCTCCAAATAGCAATGACACGTGGCTTGCTACCAACATGGTTGTGTTTATAGGAAAAAGCACGGTCACGGCCGAGTGAGCAGGAACAGTTGGTGCAACCATGCAGGCAAAGCAGCACCTTGCACGCAACCTCGGGACCTTGGCCTCCTGTTCCACGCTTCGAGTTAGATGTACCATCTCGGCACTTTCGTCACATAGCCACGAGCTCACTGGGCTACTTGCAGAGAGCTGCCCACAATCGCTTGCACACTGAGTTCCCACTTGAGTGAATGTATGGTACATTCTATGCTAAATTTTACAATCCTATTCAAACTAAATGTTTCATTAATTACCATACAAACAAAGAGTTCCACTGGTTATTAATAATCATCAGCTACACTCTTCAAGATAAAATATTCAACTATAGGTTGTGCCAGTAGCTGTGTACAAACAAGATTAGAGAATCTGATGCCTCATTGCAGCTTTCACTGAAATATGCCCACCATGAGAACACCATGACTTTAGAGCCGAAACTCGTCATAACAGACCTTGATTTTGACCAAGATTTCGGTCTGTTGCAAAAGGAATATGTTGTATGCAGATAGGAAGTTGAGTCAATGGTATGTCGAGGAAAACCAACCAACTTCAGAAATCGGTATGTTATATCCAAATGTTTGTTGTAACCAGGTAGGTCGTAACGAGCTTGGACTGTAATGAGGGCTGTCACTAACTGCATAATGGACCCTCTTTCCTGTTGTTCTCTAAACCAAGCAACATGCAGCACTAGCCACATTCTCACACAAGGACGCTAGCAATTGATCCCGACGTTCGCTGAAATTTAAAATGAGCTCCTCAAGCCTTAGCTTACAAAAGCGTTATTATAACGGCTGTAATGGGCATCAAACAACTGTGAATGATGATAGACGACAGTAAAGAGTTTTGACCGCAAACTCACCGACAAGCAGACCTGCAGCGGAACTTCCTGGGAGTCATCATCCGCCGCAACATTTGCTCCTTCCGTGGCCGCATTCTCTGCACCGGCAAAAACCAACAGACGAAACTACTGCTGACAAGGTACCCCACCACAGACATTGGTCTTCTATCTGCATGTCACGTGATGCAAAGAATGCCTGTTCAATCCCAAACCTTTCATATCTAAATGCGCCATTTCTTCGACAGGGGACGAAACAAATGGCTGCTGCATGTGGCACCGTGCTATCTGGGTATCACTTTTACCGAATCCAATAAAAATGGATGCGACGGTGATTGCCAAAATATCAATTATGCCCACTTCAAAACTTCTCACCCCCAAAATCGCCTCGAGAAGCTTCAGCCATGCATGAAACAACCGGGAAGACGTCAGTTTCGGGACGTTTCTCGGTTATCAAAGGTATGCCTAGATCCAACGTCCGTCAGATGCTTCTTTGAGTCGAGAGATCTTGCTCCGGTTCTCACCTCGAGACAAAGACTCGTCGTCCGTCGACACTGCAAGGTCCGGCAGCACCGCTCCCGGGGACGGGCTTCGCCTTTCTTCCTTCTTGATCTGGCAAGTGGGACAGACCCAAGAAGGACAAGGGTGAAGAAGACCGTCACATGACCGAGGGGCTTGCTGCCCGCTGGCAACCAGTGGTCCCTTGCTAACCTCCTTCTCAAGACATAGTTTGTCTTTGAAGCTGCCAAAATAGACCCTTTTCAAAACTGCGTCTCATCTGCTGGTAGCTTCTCCGCCAATTATCCGAGTAATCCGAGCATGTATTAGATGCGAGGGCTGAGTTAATGTTCGACGCAAACTCTGCTCAGCGTTCACCAAAGACTTTATTCCAATCCCCCGACCAAAAAATGGCAACTGGCAAAGTTTTGAAAGGGGTCTATTGTTGACCCTATCCCCCTCAAAGTACCATGCAAATCACCTCTGTTCTCCTCAAAGCCCATGGATGTGTCGGAGTACCCGGTATGCAGAACTCTCAATCAGCCGTGTTTCTTATGCTTCACAAAGTTACCTTCTGAAATGGGGGGACACAAAAAGGTGCTTACCTTATCATCCAAATAAAGGGCGTTAGGGACGCCGTACAGGTCGGGTGTCACGTCTGAAATTACAACCAATAAAATGCCTTCACAAACTAGGAGGACTTGAGGAAGAAAGCATGCGCAATCTCTCATTACGGTGCTCCCTCTTGAAAGGGCCGTGCCCATTTAAGAAACCTTCCGGGAAAGTTCCTTCGGCAGGGATCTAATGCCCGAGGTGCCGCGCGAAAATTTAATCTTATGATCTTGATCCCTAACCTGGCAACTCCCAGAATTGAAGTTTCTTGCAATACTTCTGCATCTGTCACGTATTCTATACAAATATTTTGCATTCAGATCCAGCTTTTCTTTGTTTATACCCCGTCATTTGGGAAGGCTAACGTCACGTTCATCGAATGACATTTGTGTGATCAGTGAATCAGCTCTCGATTCCGACCAGATGCAGGTGAAGTGTGTGGCGTTAGTATAGTCCTGCATGCCGAAGGCCAAGGGTATTTATTACGTTTGCAGTTCTTAGCATTACACCTGGTTCCACTGCACCTATAAAAAGGGCTGACGGCAAATAGAAAAAACAACTTTCCAAACATCACCCATTGTGATGACGAAACAGAGTACCGAAGTTGCCCATAGGCCCGTTTCCCTCAGGTGGGGCGCGAAAGCAATATGCACCCATATGTAATGCTGACTGTAGTGTCTGCAAGGCGCAACCCAAAAGGCGGCGCTGTAGTCTCCGACAATGCACGAGGCACGTTCGAACACAAGCGTCTGTCAGCGCCTGTCCGTGTGGTAACACCGTGCACCCAAAACGAAATGCAGCTTGTGGTTTCAGCGTTTCATCAAAATACCAAGAATGCATTCTTTTCAGCTGCTTTGTGTTTTTTGTGGAGTCTGTGAGCAAAGCAAGGGAGCGTAACGACGCGCAATTGAAACACACTATAAAAAACTTTCAGCCTTTTCACTCTGGTGAAGAAGGAAGTGCAGCAAAGCTGTACTATGTGCCGCCATCTATGAGCGATGGCAGCAACCAGAGTACCGGCAAGCCGGTAGTCTGCATGCCGCCATCGCTTATAGATGGCGTTAGCTGTCCTGAGGGTTGTGTCGAGACTTTTTTGTCCACAGACATGGAACTGGAAAAACTAGCCTTCAACAGCTCCGCTGTAAAAATGTTCTATGTTGGTCGCCAAAGCCACCGCTCACAATTCAAGAGCTACGAGACTACCGAATAAAGGCTTCCGGCAAACAAGTGTTGCCGGTTGGCCGTCGACCGACTCACACTCCTCCTCCTCAACGTCAGACTCTGGCTCCTGCTTGACCTTGAGGTTCCAGGGCTCCAAGGGGACCGCTGGGCCCCCCGTCAGGGCCATGCCTGAAGGGACCACAGGGTACACTCAACACACATTGTACAGAGGGGCCATCGTGGAAACTGGCCAGTGAAATTGGTTCATTAGTAGACTACGCTATCACCATCATTTACTATATTAGCTATTGGAAACATTCTTACCACACAGGTGACAAACATGCAATAGAATAAAAAAAAAGCAACACCTAGCTTAGCCCAAAATCCGTCTGGTTCAAAGGAACTGTGTTGGAGTACTCTATTCGAGGCTTTGGTTGGAGTATTTTTTTCAAGGCTTCGGTTGGTGTAGATCTTTTTTATTACTAATGGACAATATATGATTTATGGACGCACACCAACTGGGGAAGCAGTTGTGCTCGTACCACAACTTATCAACTGCCTATTTGCCGGAGCCAGCTCATAAAAAAAAAATTAATTATCATATATTAATTTTCACTATATACTTCTCATCTATATGGCCATCCAAAGTGCCACTTAGCTGGACACATCCATTCACGATCCTGGAGTGTTACGTTGATAACTGCACAGCGGAGTTTGTCAGGAAAACTTTGGTTGTGCGACATCTATGCTGACACATTACAGGTGCATTACTCAACTGTGGCACTGTGATGATGGCTTGAAGTCCAAGAGTATTTACCTTCTTTCAACCAGGACAGTTAGGTGAATGCTCGAATGTACCATCCGATTCAGAGTGAATTCTAAAGTACTTCTTCTTTCTCTTCTCACTCGAAGCAGTTCTCTTCAGGGGCGGCACCCAGTCTATGCTCACAACAAGAAAGGGAATACTCAAGCTTGGGATGAAGGTCATGATGGTCAGATGTGATGACTGTGATGATGATGGTGATGAGATGGGGCAATTGCAATGACGGGATAACACCTAGAAAAAGGATTCAATTGTGTCTTCCATCTTTCTTTTTTTTTTTCTTTTCTTCAACCAAAAAAGCAGTTTTCTGCAAAAACAAGAATTAAAGGGATACTGAGCCGAAATTTCGAGCTCACTAAACAAGGCCCGGCAGATAGGCGGGAAGCTGCAAAACCAAAAAATATCCCTCATACGGCGATATATCTAACGGATGGCCGTATTTTTTGGAAAAGAAGTGCGCGATTAAACCCGGCCGATGAGGCCGACAAGACAAGGCACGTCACGATTCCCCCCATTCTCTCCTCTCCTCGCTACGTCCTGTCAAGCTGGTGAACCGAAGCGAGGAGGAGAGAAGCGAGGCCGCTTCTCCTCATTCTCAAATTCTCCCAGAGGACAGTTACGTCAAAGAACTCGCTTGATCGCGCCCTTCTTTTCCAAAAGTATGGCCATCCGTTTGAGATATCGATGTACGAGTGATCTTTTGGAGTTCGTAGTGCCCGGTTCAACACTTCTGCAGCCTCACTTTGCGAAATCCAAATTTCGGTTCAGTATCCCTTTAAGAACAGTTTGCATGCCTACTTACTATAAAATAACTAAAAAGCTATGAGAAACAAAAAATAAAAGCCGTTTACGACTCCCTGTAACGCGGAATTAGAGTGCAGCTCTTGAGGAGGAGGAAGGAAGGTTACTGAGGCTCACGTGTTCTCGGGGGGGGGGGGGGGGGGGTCATGTGACCTGGAGGCGTCACGTGGCCTGGGGGGTCATGTGACCATCCCCTCCCCACCCGAGGTCACTTGACCCCCAAGGTCACATGGGGGGTCACGTGACCTCGGGAAGGTCACGTGTTTTCGGTGGGGGGGGGGGGGGGGGGGGGGGCCACATGACCCCCAGGACAAGTGAACTCCCAGAGAAATTTTTCCGCTAGATTTAGCGGGGAAATTTTTCCGCTAAATCTAGCGGGGAAACTTTTCCATTAGATCTAGCGGGGAATCTTTTCCGCTAGATTTAGCGGGGAAATTTTTCCGCTAGTTGAGCAGGGAAATTTTTCCGCTAAATTTTGCGGGAAATTTTTCCGCTAGATTTAGTGGGTAAATTTTCCGCTAAATTTAGAGGGGACATTTTTCCACTAAATTTAGCGGGGAAACTTTTTCTGCTAGATTTAGCGGGGAAATTTTTCCGCTAGATTTAGCGGGGTAATTTTTCCGCTAAATTTACAGGGGACATTTTTCCGCTAAGTTTAGCGGGGAAATTTTTCCGCTGAAATTCTTCCGCTAGATTTAGCGGGGAAATTTACCCGTAATGCACCGCGCGGTTACGCCGACGGCGACGGCGACGCCGCTCAAGCCGGAAACGGGCGCCTAAGAGCTGCACTCTAATAACGCAATGCAATGCTTTAGTCATCAATAGTGTGTAAAACGCAAAGCTGTGTGATAACCAAGCTTTGGGAAGAGGTTCAGCAATGACCACGCACTGACTTCCCCACCACCAAATTATATTCGGAAGTGGGAACTGATTAATAACACAAATGGACCTTACACTAAACGCTCCTCCGAGGCGAGAATCAATAGGGCACACAATAAAAAAAGAACAGAATCCTTCTGCTTTTGACATTAATGGATCGAGAGAGGCCGGGGATTTTCAGTTTTGCTTCGCACCCTAAAGGACTGTACCATCGCATCTGCCAACGGGGTGTCACGCGGCTTCATTTCCAATGGACAGACGACAAAAGCGATATCCATATTCCACGATTACGGAGATTACATATAGAACCGTCGACATTTAAATGCAGAAGCTCGCCCTCAATTTATTTTACTTCGGAAAGCAATCTCCGGGAAAATGAAAGCGCGACATAAGGAAAAACGCTCTGCAGAAATCGCGCTTCGGGGAGTCGTCCGTAGCAGACGACGCTGATGACGCGAGTGGGCTCCGAAATCAAGAACGTCCGATGCCCTTTCGAAACTAGATGAACGAGCAAAAAAGAAAGAGGAGAAAACTCGCTGAACATTGACCTCGCATTAATAAAACGAAAATAAGTATGAATAAAAACAAAAGCGAATAAAAAGTGATACGTCCAGCCGATCGAAGAACGCGAGGAACAAGTAAACAAAACCAAAACAAAGCTCAGCTGACAAAAGCGCGCCGCATACATCTAAGCCTAAACAAACGAAAAAAAAAAACTGTTTGGAACAAAACGAAAAACACGTGTCTTCGTGGATGATACCCGAGATAACGCTATGCCATTTGCCTCCAACAAACAGTACCGAACTGAGGAACATCACGGCAACTTCAGCTCCTCAACATTCAAAACGGCCGACACAATAAAAACCGATAAAAAAACAAAACAAAGTGCCGTTAGTTTCGCATGTATGCGGGTCGTGCGCAGCAGTCAGCACATACGGAAACGTTTCGGGTTACTTTTCAGGCGCGCGCGCGAGTCCGTGGAATCGGTGCGGCGCAAGGCGTGCTGCGATTGAAGGGGCAACGTTTCGGGAGATCCACTTACCGCCTTCCTCGGTCGCTCTCGACGAAAAGCGGTCGATGCGTCGTCGCCGCCGTGGAAGGCCGCGCTGCCCGAGCTACGCCCACGGTGAACAGACGACATTTCGGATAGTGCGCGGCGTCACTTGCGGGCTGTGCTGTCGCTCGGCGTTGCTGTCTGCGGTCAGCGCTGAGAACTGCTTCGTCTGGGGTAACGCACTCGAGACGGACTCCATGTTTCGGAAGGTTCGGACCCGACCCGAGGTTGTAAACGCGCTATGGAACGCGTTCGACCGGCAGCTCCGGCAACCCGGGCCGGAACGTCGTCGGCGTCGCCGTCGCTTTTCCTGCAGTTGGCGCCATCTGGCGCCGCGAGTTGCAACCAGAAGTCCGGTGCGCGAAGTACGAGCCGATTTTGAAACCACGACATCACGAAGCGACAAACGCATGAGTTTAAGTAATCATTGAGGCCCGCCTGTACACCCGGGCGACGAACAGTTACTCTGGTTACTGCATTTTTCACCCTGTTTTCCTGTCATTCCTTTTACTTGCGTCTACAAAAAATAAAATAAAAGCTCAGTTGGAAGCAAGGTTTGGAGAGCGAAAAACCCAGATCAAGCGAAAAAAAAAATATATATATATATATTTCTTAGTGCCTGCGTAAGATGAGCACTGGAAGCACGTGGCCATGCGTTTAAAGGGACACTGACACCCCCCAAAATTTATTTTTAATTTTTTGCCAGGCGCTTCATTATGGTGTCGGAGGACTACCCAATTAATATTTTGCAACAGAGTACCGTATTTTTTTAATAAAGCCAAAAGACGCAACTGCTCGAAACCGAAACCGAAACCTGACGGAGGTCGGAGAAGTGGAGAGAAGAGAGTGGAGTGGCGGAAGTCACGTGGCTGCACCCGACCGTGTGTTGTTTTTTTTTCTTTTTTTTTTCTCCTTCCCGGTAGCAGACGACATGCGGCGTATGGGAACTGCTCGCCGTGGGATTCTTTTGCAGTTATGTTTGTTCCGCTCGTTGTTCTGTACTCCAAGATGAGTTGTTTTGTACATTGAGGAGTTGGAGATGAGTAGTGAGTGCCCGTGGTGAATCTTGATCGGCTCCGAAAAGAATACACCCAAGATGTTGCGTGAAGAGCTGGCTCACATGTCCCGCGTCCGAAACAGAAGTGGCATTGTGCGACAGAGTTTCCGAAAGATCAACGGGATCGGGACCAATGGCTGGCTGCAATTCCTGTAGACCATTTACGGGCACCTCGGGAAGCGGACGGTACCTGATTTATATGCTCCTTGCATTTTGTGGAAAGTGATTACATTGAGTTCGCAGGTGTCAAAAAGGAAATCCCATACCATTTAATTCAGCGACGTGTCGTCCACAAAATTTGTTTCTTATTTTTTGTTTTTGTTTCTTCAGTAATAATTTAAAAAAAAAAAAAGAAATGTAGACATCAAAAGTATTTAGAAAAAAAAAAAAGGGTTTCACGGGGGATCGAACCAGGCTCTACCGCGTGTGAAGGGGGACGTCTTTCCCACTGAGCTACTGGAACATTTTTTTTTTTTTTATATCTTTATTACTTATTTTACAAATACCACATCACACGATCAGTCATACCTGTATGTACAGTCAAACATGCGCTAAAAGCAACCTATTTACAAACAACTATCACACGTTTCCTTTTTTCTCATTTGGCATCTTGAACATGTGGCCATTAGAAATACCTTAGAGAAAATTACAAAACTTGTAGTTGAGACATTTGAGCGAAAGTCACTCACGCGCAAGGTACATTTTTATCAAAAATCCGGAAGCCCAAGGCATGCATCAAACATGGGGAACCAGTCAGGTTGGCTTAGTTTTGAGGCATAGATACTTCTGACTTGCGCCACTTGTTGTAAAAAAAGCGATTTCGTCGTGCGTGGTTTCTCCGCATGCCTATCTATCATACGACACTTCCAGAGACTATGTAATCCCAGAAGCGCGAACATGTCATACGGGACGGTCTCGTTTTCTGAAAACGGTAGGAAGCGAAGGCTGTAATCGTTGAGGACTAAGTCTTTTTTTAGCGTGCGTTGTAGCACGTCCCAAAATAAAAACGCGTCATTGCAGTATATAAAACAGTGCTCTATCGTCTCTGGCTTATTACATAATCTACAATTAACTGTCCAGGGAACAAATATTCCCCTTTTTTGGAGATAAGTTTTTACGGGCAAAGTGGACGTATGGAGTTTAAAGAAAAACGTCTTGGTTGACGGAGGCACTCCCATTTTCTTTACTCTTTTAAATACGTCACTGATGGGTTCCAGCGTGAAGCGGGTACGATAAAGTGGAAGAGAAAACAGGCTTTCGGTAATGCTTCTTGACAATTCCTTTCTGGACACACTGAACAGATATTCCAGTGAAAACCTCGCTTTGAGAAAGCTAAATGTGTCTACCACCTCCTTTAGAAAGCCCCAAGGCCTACCTTGGAAAATTTCGCCATTTGAAACAACCAGATAATTTAAACTCTCAGCAAGACGTCGTTGGAGCATTACTCTGAGGAAATCGTGATTGGCATTCTTAAAGAAAAAAAATCGGGAGACCAACTGACGGACAAATACATGGCACAATCCTAAACCGCCATATTCCAGGGGAAGGAAAAGGTTATCCCTTTTTATGGGTTCCCAAGTTGAACACCATATAAACGTAGCAAATATTCGATGAATTTTTTGGATGTTGGTTCGAGAGCAATGAAGTACCTGGAGCACGTACATAAGTTTTGAAGCCAGAAATATATTACAAACGCTGGCTCTAGCGAAAATTGAAATGTCTCTTCCTTTCCACGCGTCTGTTTTTCTTTTCAATGTGGTTGCCAGGGAAGACCAGTAGGTTACGCTACTACGAATTTGTGCGAGCGGTACTCCAAGATAGGTAAGGGGACTCCTGTTCCACGCTATCCCAGCAAAAAAACGGGGTTTCGTGGCCCAGGAACCATACCAGTAACCGTTGCATTTCGATGGGTTTACTGAGGCTCCTGTTACCGCGCAATAATGCGCTGTGAGATCAAGTGCCTTCTCAACGCTTCTCTTGTCCGAACAGAAAAATGCAACATCGTCTGCGTAGGCGAGGACTTTAACCTTAACATTGGCCAGCGAGTATCCTTGAACATCGTCGCTCCTAAGGACGCTAAGGCACAACGGCTATAAGTACAGGGCGAAAAGAAGCGGGGATAGCGGGCAGCCCTGCCTAACGGAAGATTGTATTTTAATCTCGTCAGATAGTATACCATTTACGATGAGCCTTGTAGAACAATTGAAATAGCATAGCTGGATTCCATCTAAGAGTGTCGCCCCCACGTTGACATGCTTAAGCAACGCAAATAAAAATGAGTGACTCACGCGGTCAAAAGCCTTTGTGAGATCTATCTGTACAAATGCAACCTGGTCACTGTTGTCAGACGCACACTCCAGTACTGAACGGGCAACATGTGCATTCGTTTGGATAGCTCTGCCACGTATCCCGCAGGTTTGGTGTTCACCTACTAGCTTTTCGATTACACTTTGTAGCCTTTCATTGAGCACTTTTGCATAAATTTTATAGTCAACGTTGCAGAGGGAAATAGGTCTATAATTTTCCATGTTTTTCAACATTTCCAAGTTTTTCGTTTTTGGTATTAGTACCGTGTGTCCACGGTAAAAGGAAGGCGGAAGCGCTCGCTGGACATAGGCTTCCTGAAATACGGCGAGTAGAACAGGAGAAATAATGTCTACGTATTTTTTATAAAATCCTCCACTTAGTCCATCAGGCCCAGGCGTTTTACCATTAGGGAGGGATTTGATGGCGGCTTTGATTTCATCCAAGGTTATAGGACCGTCGATTAACTTCCGGTCTGTCTCGTCTAGTATCGGCATATGTGATAACAGCTGTTCAACTTCAGCCTTCTCTTTTGTAGGTATTAATTTTCCAAAAATATTTGTGTAAAATTGGTGGAATGATTTCACAATGTCCGCTGTGTCGGTGTGCATTGACCCTTTGCTATTTATCTCTACGATTTCTTTTGACAGAGCATATCGCCTTTCGTCGTCCAGAGACCTCTTTGTAGGTTGTTCACCAAGGAGGAAACGTTTCTTTCGAGAGCGAATTATGGCCCCTCGATACCTTTCTGTTTCATATTTTTGTAGTTGAGCTCGAACCACATTGATATCGTCACTATATACGCCTGGGTTAAGGCATTCTAGTTCGTATAGAGTCGTTAAATTCTTGAAGAGTTCACGTTGTTCCTGTTTGTTGATGTAGGATAAGACCGTGGAACGCTCGATTGCGTGGTTTTTCACCTCCTGTTTAAAGAAATCCCATTTAGCAAATATATGCATGCCAACGTTTTTTTGTATGTCCGACAAAACTATGGGAATCTTTTTTGAGAAAGAATCATCGCTTAGAAGTTTCAGGTTTAACTTCCAGAAGTCCCACTGTTGACAAACACATCGGTGTCTCTGCGGACCAAAACAAGTTGATACCAAGCAATGATCAGAAAAGAACACCGGTTTAACGTGGTAGTCGCTCATTGAGTCAATTATAAAGCCCGAGACATAAATTCTGTCTAACCGAGCGTGAGAGATTCCTTGGAAATGAGTGTAACGTATTGGTTCACCTTTTCTATAAGCCACATCAACGAGGTTATGCTCTTGAAGCAAGCTCTGAAGAGCCGTTGCACTTCTATCATACCTAGTCAGCGATACCGATCGATCGTCTGCACTACAAACACAATTAAAGTCTCCCATTGTAACTAACGCTCTATTAGTCTCAAAAAGCGATGGTAAAATTTCAAAGAATGATGTTCTTTCCTTCGGGCTATTGGGAGCGTAAAGACAAATGAAGCGCCAATTTATCTGTCTAAAGCTAAGGTCACAAGAAATAAGACGCCCTTCGAGGTCAGTTAAAACGGAAACTGATGACAAATCAAGCTCTTTACGAAAGAAGAGAAAACACCCAGCGGAGAGACCTGAAGCTTGACTAACGCAAATTTCGTAATCCTTCATAAAGGGTTCTAACGCTTCAGCAATACTCTCATCTGAAGATAGCTTCGTCTCCTGTACCGCTGCGACGTCAACTTTCTCCTCTTTAAAAAGGCGCAGCAGCTGATACTGTTTCCTTTTAGAGCTCAGACCTCTTACATTTAAGGTCGTGAAATGTAAAGGAAGGGCGGCAGACATTGGGAAGTTTAGGGCGTACTCAAGTCACCGCTTAGGCTGTCCTCGGTCACCTTGAGGTTTGCCGGCGGTTTGGCGTATGGCTTGAGTCGGGTTCCAGCCTGCTTGCGTTCTTTCTTGGCTCGCGTTGGAGGGAGCCCATCAGCAGACGGACTGTTGGTCGGTCCACCCATGACAGCAACGTCTGGCACTTGAGCTGGCTGAGGTGCCTCAACGGGCGGTTCGGTGACTTCGGGCTTTGCACCGATCTCAGCGGTGTCCTGCTCTCGCCTTGTAGCATCTTCCTCGACTATCGTTGAGTCTGATGTCATAGACGAAGCGTCGTCTTCGTCTGGCGGTGGAGGTGGCTCAGGGAGGCCACCAGGGTCGTCTTTGCGTTCACTGGTACTGGGAACTTTGCTTGGAGGCTCTTGTTCGATGTACTTGGCGAACGTTTCGGCCGGCGGGGCGTGACCCGAAGCGTCGACGACCTCGGAGGCGTCCATCAGGAGTTCCGACTGCTCTTCCGTCTCACGGGACATTTTGCCACGAAGCTTGCTTGCGTAAGATGTGACGCAAGCATCCGCGATGTGTCCGTAGATACCGCATTTGTAGCAGCGTGGTGTTCTGCACTGCCGTCGAATGTGTCCGACCCTGTTGCACCTGAGGCACAAAGGAGGTCTTCCTGGTACGATGACGAGCGTCTGCATGCCGTACACCTGAAGTAGGTGAGGAATCTTTTCTGTCGACGTTCCTTCGTGCAGGGTGATGTTTACCTCCCTGTTCAGGGTGTCCATGTGCTCCATTCCTGGGCAGCGCCACTTCTCTCGATGAACGCTACGTACTGTGCCGAAAGGCGTCATAGCTTCGACGACGCGCCCGTCTTCGAGATGGTCCGGAAGCCACAGGAGCTTCATCTTGAGGTCCCGTGTGTTTGGGTCGATCACCAGGCATTTCTTGCCTTTAACGAGCAGCTCGCCACGGCGGCAAAGCTTTTCTTTGGCGAGAGCGTTGACGCAGGTGACCATCCATACATGGCCCATCTGGAATTGTCCGGTAGCTTTTATGTCTTTTAGGTCTATAACTTCTTTCAGAGCATCACGGAAGTCCGGTGCCGTGTAAGGCCTAGCGGTCATGTCGGCGTGAAGAAATACAGAATTCAGAACGAGGTTACCGGTTGGCAGACGAGGAAGCGTGATCCTGTACTCACTTGAGTTGACATTCGACGATTCAATATTACCTCGGCCAGAGGCCGATGCGGTGTTTCCACCAGAGCTCATTTTTTCGCAGCCGTTCCAAACGGCCTCTTCTTCTTCCCCCGAGCTACTGGAACATATCGAAAATGGGGTATCTCTTTCCTTAGTAATAATTTAGCCGATAAACTGTAAGTTGAAAAGTTTGCTGCCGATTTTCCTCTAGCAAAAGCACTCCCGGGTCGAAGTCGGGATGCACCACGCATTCGCGACATTCTCACCTAGTAAAGAAATCGTACGCGTGCATATTCCACTCGAAGTAGACACGTCGCGCTTGACGTTTGCGCGAGCGATGTCTTCAGCCACGAGAAGGGAGCGACGGCTCGGCGACGTCTTCGTGCAAATCGGCTTGGTGGTCGGGCGTGTCGTACGGGATGAATACCAATTCTTTTGACCAGTCCCAAATTTCTCTTTTAAAGGCAGACAAAATTCGCCGGTACCGCGAACGACAGTTCTGAAATAGAGGTCCCACGCCCGTCGTCCGCTGCCATCGCCGTCCCTGCGAGTCCCACGATACGCGAAACGACGCACGCACAGAATGCTTCCGGTTGTCTGTGGAACTTTTTTTTCAATCAACGTATTTGCAGCTTTTTAGAAGCCACAAAAAATGGGTTTTATATTTTTTTATATTTTTAATATTGAGTGTGTGCCTTCAGTGACCTACGACTTTGATTAAATTTGGTGGTCGCATCGATACCTTAGAAAACGGCCCGTGACCGCGGAAAAGAGAGTGAGCGAGACTCGAACCGGCCAGTTCTTGATCGGCAGTTTTCGGGCGGAAAGAAACCGAATTTCGAGCCGCAAATTCTGTTCTGGGTAGTTGAGCTCTCATATGTCACGTACAACTAAAAACCTCGGCGAGCATAAATACCCTGTCAGTGTCCCTTTAAGTTCTTGGTTAAACGACTGGCCCGCCCTCCCCACCCCCCCCCCCCTTTTTTTTTTTTTTTTTTTTTTACACATTTAGGTTTTAAACAGTCCTTTTATTTTCACAGGAGAAAAACGGGTATTCATGGACATCTCAGACAAGGCCCAAGGGTATCCATCTGTGCAAGAAACAAAGTAGCGTTGAATGCTCTCTGGCCTCCTGCATAGGCGGCAGTTCATTGCTCACAGAAGAAAATGCCTTAAAGGGGTTATGACACGAAAATTAAACGGATAGATTATTCTTGAAATGGAATGCTCATAGGCTACTTAGCATATACACCAAGTTACGCAATTTTTAGAGCTCTGATAATTGCAATATTCAATTTACGAATTTTTATAATTTTCATCTGGCGACCAGGCAACACTGCTCAAGTTAGTCACACCATGGTGTCCATAAACCACGTGACCATGAACACTCTCTCATTCTAGGCGCCCCCATGATCGCCCAAGCTCTTCTCGTCGCGGTACGAACAAAACCGCTCAAACAGCTCGGTAAACTGAAAGCTATTCTCGCTCTCGCCCCCCGGCCGGT